TGAGTGCTATGTCTCTCTGTGGGCCTGAGTCTCCTCATCCAGAAAGTGGGAATTATGAGAGTCCACAGTGCATAGGGTTATCGTGAGAAATGAATGGATTGTTGTAAGTAAGGCACAACAGCAACTGGCCCACGGTGGAAGCTCAATAAATGTTAGCTATGATTTTGCTATTACTTGTTCTTATTATTGATCATCGTTTCTGTTATTGTGCGTGTCAGGCACTGTGCATGGTCCAGGCTGGGTCCTCGAGGGCTGACAGCCCAGCTGGGGCGTCAGGCACGTTCATGGGCAGTCATCGTGGTGTGCCTGTCTTCTTAGGCACTGCTTGGAGCGCTTGTGAGGCACTGCTCGGAGATGGTTTTTGTGCAAACTTTTTATTAAAATGTAATAATACAGGGGGCGGCCGGTTAGCTCAGTTGGTTAGAGCACAGTGCTCATAACACCAAGGTTGCCAGTTTGATCCCCACATGGGCCGCTGAGCTGCGCCCTCCACAATTAGACTGAACTACTCGACTTGGAGCTGATGGGTCCTGGCAAAACACACTCTTCCTGAATTAAAAAATATATATAATAACACATGTTAAGAAAAGTCACAAATCGCAAATATTGTGCAGCTATTATGAATCCTCACAATAACACTATGAGGTAGGTTCTATTTATTTCTAGGCTTTTAAAAACTTTTGACAAATTTTGTGACAAAATGCACATACATAACATTTACCATTTTTAAGTGTACAGTTCAGTTGTAAGTACATTCCCATTCAGTCTCCACAACTGTTATCATTTTGCACCTGAAACTCCATCCTCAACGAACAAATCCCCACCCTCGAGACCCTCCCCTAGCCTCTGGCAACCACCATTTTCCTTCCTGTCTCTATGAACTTGACCACTCTAGGCACCTCATATAAGTGGATTTGTAGTCTTGATCTTCTTGTGACTGGTTTATTTCACCTGACATAATATCCTCAAGGTCCATCCATGTTGTCACACGTGTCAGAATTTCCTCCCTTCTGAAAGGCTGAATAATATTCCATTGTGTGAATAGACCACATTTGATTTATCCATCCATCAGTTGATGGACAAAGTTGTTTCCACATTTTGACTACTGTGAATAATGCNGTTTAGTATGTTCCAGAAGAAAGATTCAATTCTGGTGAGTAGAATTATAAAATTCTTGTGGTTAGGTATTACTCTGTATTGGCCTTCTGATAGAAAATGAACATTGAGCCCCCACAATGCTCCTTGAAATACTTTGACAAACGGCTAAATTCAACTCAATTTTCAATCTGGTGACAATTTGGAGCTCTGGGCTACAGTTGCAGGTTAGGCCTGGCTTCTCCCTGCACCTCAGTCCTCTTCTTCTCTAAACCATCTTGGTGAGAATGGAGTAACATGTTTTTACGGCATCTTGCCATGGCCCAAGCTACAATATCTGAAGACAAATGGGTGTTAAGTTTGTTCCCTGAGTTTACCAACACAGAAGTCCTGTGAATCCCATACTTTTGGGATTTAATGGAGGCTTCATCATATAGGCCTAATTATCGATATTTCACTCTGTTTTCAGCCCTTCTCCCTTCTCCAGAGATTGGGGGGTCGGGCTGAAAATTTCAAGTTTCCAATCATGACTTGGCCTATCAGTGACCAGCCCTGACTGGGCTGCTTGTCTGGTTTTTTGTGAACCCTTGTGAGATTTTAGGAAAGTCTGCAGCAGGAGCCAAGGTAGTTGGTTTGTGTGGAAAAGTCACTGGAAGTGGCTTGAGTGTGCTGGAAAGTACGGTGAGGTGGGGTCTCAGATTCCTCAGGGCGGGGCCAGGTTGATGGAGACTCAAAATATGATGGCCACTTGTGTCTGCACGCAGCGAAGAGAAGGGGGAGGGCTCAACAGAGCAACAATGGCTTCCACCAGCTCCTCCGTCCTGGAGAAATCTGCCCTCCCAGCCCTCACCCTGACACCAGACAATTCAGCTCCTTTCCGTCTGTCCCTGGTGCCTTTCAAGCTGCTGCTCCAGTGCTGGAGTGACCCCATCAGTGAGTAAGTCTGTGCGTGGGACCTTTAAAAGGAGCACCTGGGACTACAGCTGACTTTTGGCTCTTGCAGCCATGATATCTGCTAGTTCTCACAACCAGAAGTTATGGGGACTTCTCTCGCAGCACTGAAACCCTGGGCTGGGGTGCCTGGCATGGCACTGGGACCCCTTGCTCCTCCAGGGGGAACTCCATAGCTGAGATATCCCTCCTAATTTTTAATGGTCACACGTGGGTGTGGGACCAGCCCACTCTGAGTCTCTGCCCCTTCTACCAGTGTTGAGGTGGCTTCTTCTGTATGTCCATAGTTGTAGGGCTTCACTTCAGCTAGAATTCATTTGCTTCTCAGTGATGGTTGCTTTGTAGTTTAGTTGTAATTATGATGTGGTTGGGAGAGGAGGTGAGCACAGTGTTTACCTACTCTGTCATCTTGACCAGAAATCTGATTCTGCATTTTAAGTCCCCAACCAAAGGCCAACTCTCCATATGAATTTTAGGATTGCTTTTCTATTTCTGTAGAGTGCCGTTGGGATTTTGATAGGGATTGCTTTGAAATCTGTAGATAACTGTTGGTAGTATGGATATTTCAATAATATCAATTCTTCCAACCCATGAAAGAAAATGTCTTTTCCTTTATCTGTGTCTTTTAAAATTTCCTTCATCAATGTTTTGAAAATTTTCATGTACAAGTCTTTCACGTCTTTGGTTATTTCCTAAGTATTTCATTCTTCTTGCTATTATGAGATTGTTTTCTCCATTTGCCCTTTGGGTAATTTGTTGTTTGTGTATAGAAAGTCAATTGATTTTGTATGTTTATTTTGTATCCTGCAACTTTATGGAATCATTTATTATTTATAACAGGATTTTTGTTGTTAAGTCTTTATGGTTTTCTATGTATATGATCATGCCATCTGCAAATAGAGGTAATTTTATTCATTCCTTTCCTATTTGGATGCCATTTTTTTTTCTTTTTCTCGTCTAATTTCTCTAGCCCTAAGATCTTAGAGGGAAGCTTTCAATTTCCCCCCATTAATTATAGAGTTACCTATGTGCTTTTCATATATGGCCTTTATTGTGTTGAGATAAGATTATTCTGTACCTATTTTGTTGAGAGTTTTAACATAAATAGGTGTTGAATTTTGTCAAATGCCTTTTCTGCATCTGTTGAGAGAATCATGTGGGTTTTTTTGTTTGTTTCATTTTGCTAATGCGTTATATCATCTTGATTGATATACATGTGTTGAACCATCCTTACATCCCTGGGATAAAACCCACTTAGTCACGATGTGTGATCCTCACTGTGTGGAGTGTCGTTTTGGTTCCAGACTGAATAAAGACAGGATGAAAGGGGTTGAAAGATGACCCCCTCCTCCCAAAAAGCTATGCGTCAAAAATAGAGTTCTTTTTGAGTGACAAATTATTATCTAGCAATTGTGCAAGGTTATATTGGCATACCAAATTCCTTAATTAAGTGGTTTCTAGGTTTTTATTTTTGTTATTTGGCTATAGGTATTGTGCACTGGTGAACAATTTCCTATTTATTGCTTTTTAACATCTGTTTAATTATTTTCTTGGGCTATATTCCCAGGAAATGATGGCTGAATATGAGGTATTCAATAAAATTCTCTGTGACTCTAGCTTGGCATTGCCAAATTGTTTTACCTTTTAGGAGTTTGAGCCATGTTTTTATTTTAGTGTATTGATGAACTCGTATTTGCTAAGGAAATCATTATGTTGGGTCGATGAAGGCTCACCCCGTGAATTGGAAAATGTTTGGCTTAAGTGTTTACCTATTTCTCTCAAACCTTCAGGGATGCGGAGACAATCGCTGCTTCAATTACCTGTTCTTTGGTGCCCCCTTCTGGGAGATATACTCACCAGCCTGTGTAGCCCCTCCCGGGGGAGATGCATGGGGCCAGGTAGAAAGGGCTCCCTGACAGAAGGCTTGAGATGGGGCAAAGCAGTTCACCTGTCACTCAGAGGCCCAGGTGGCACCTGTATGTAGGCCAAGCCTACACACCTGGCCTCCCTTAGAGTCAGGTCGCTTCCACATTGCAGTCGATTATTGCCTTATAACAAAGCTGTTCTTACCACCTCTCTCTCACCTGCTACTCATCACCCAACCCTTACCATCTTCCTGTGCCCAGGACAAAGTTGTGGCTCCAGTTGCTTGGCACACAGGGCTCTCCCCATTTTGTCTCCATCCTCCTCTCCAGCCCTGCTTCTCCTATCTGTTCATCATGAACGTCATGGACTCCTTTCCCAGCAGGCCATCCTCTTTCATGCCACCAAGCCTTTGCCTGTGCTGTTTCTTGCCTGGAGTGCTGGTTCTCCGTGCTGCTTCTTGTAACAAAAAACTTTTCTTCAACTCCCACCTCAAAGGCCACCTTCTAAGGAAATCTCCCTCAACTCTCCAGGCAGAAGGTATGCCTTCCTGAGTGCCCAGGGTCCCTGTTCATGCCACTAAATTATAATAGTAGTGTTCACAGTGTGACTCTGTCCCCTCCATGCATCCCCACCCTGTGATTTGGCCCCATGTCTTACTCATATTGCCTAGAGGGGCCTGGCTCACTATAGGTACTTGAGAAAAAAATTACTGTGGAGTTTGGGGGCTTACTTATTAAAGGAGGCCATCCATGGAAGACATATTTAAGTTGTGTGTCCGACCTCACTGAAGCCTTGGACCTGGGAGGAAGAGCTCTGATGTAGGGGGATGGATAAGGGGACCTTGTGTGGCTCTGAGAGGCTTCAGATCAGGCTCCAAGGGAAGGTGGGTCCCTGAAACTGGTTAATTGTAGGAAGCAAGTGTCGTGTCATATCATGTCATCTCAGGAATGCAATTAAGACTCAGTGTCCCTGTGGGAAAGCCGGTGAGAGTCACAAGACTGGCTGCCATGACTAGAGACACGGAGGATGGGCAGGATGTGGGACTTGGTGGCAGGGCTGCTGCTCACACAGCTGCCTCCTGCCTGAGTGCTGGGGAGTCTCTGGGATAATCCGCAGGCCGGGACTGCTTTTGGAGCAACCTCTGCCCGAAGCGACAGGTCAGCCCCTCTTCCAAGGGAGTCGCGGGTGGACAGTGGTGGGTGTGCGCTGGTGCAAGAAAGCAGAGGCGGGCTGCTTACTCATTTTGGAGCAAGTGTGCCCTGTAGATGGAGGTCCCAGCAGCATGACTATGGCCCACAGGGGTTTAGGGTCCAAGTTAAGAGCAGGTCTTTGGGGTCGTCCCCAGAGACATTGGTGGGAATCCAGCTCCAGGGGGGTCAGCTGTGTGATTTTGGGAAATTTATGGGACCTCTCTGGGTTTCATTTCTGACTCAGGGAAGTGGGGGTAGTGGTGCCTCTGTCGTTGGGTCATTGTGAGGGTTCCATGGGGTGCTGTGTGTACAGGGCTTTGCCCAGTGCCTGGCCGGCTTTCCGAGAGTTGGAAGCAATGGTTGTCGTGAGTCTTAGCTGAACAGGATCTATGGAGGATGCTGGCCTGACCATCCTGCCACCTGAAAACAGGAATCTCACCTCTGTAGCAAGTGGGCTGTGGGAAGTCTCGGCACTAGTTCCTCACCTCTGGGCAGAGCACTGGGATGAGTGCCGTGGGGTGACCAGGAGAGGCGGCAGGTATCCCCACCTGCCCCACACTGGCCAGCCCAGCACACAGGGCCTGGGAGGGCCAAGGAAAGCAGCGCTGAAGGGATGGCGTGGATGGTATGTANTGGTTTTCCTTCTAAGATGAGTCAGCGTCTGGGCTCAAGAAACCTCTGTGACCAGGAGCCAATGTCTCGACACTGTGCCCCATCCCCACCTGCTCCTGCCCCAGCATGGTCCTGAAAGCATAGGGGAGAGGGCACCAGTGAGATGGGCTTGCTGGGTGGGGATTGGGTACTCAGGGGTGTTTGTCACTGTGAACGGGACTCTCAGAAGTGCCCAGAGGACTGGATCCCTTGTCCAGTGGGCTGGGATCCTGGGCTGTGTCCTGGTCCGTATGTGTTGAAGCTGTGTGGGTATCCCTGTGGAGGTGAGAGAGTCGCCCTGTGTGCTGAGCTGACTCCTGATGCTTTGTTAAATGCCAGGTTCTGATGTCTGGGAAAACCCACCTGGTGGTGGGTATTCCCTGTATAGGAGCTCAAGCTAGTCCTGGAGTCCAGCTACCTCTGGGAACCAAGTGACGAGGCAGGACTGAAAAGGGTGCATGCAAGAGAGGCCCCGAAGGGATCAGAAGGGGAGCTCATGCTGATTCCATAAGTGACAGCGTCCTTCATATGTCACGGAAGGGGCAGGTCACTGCCTTTAGGCCCTTCAAGGCCAGCCCATAAACTAGGGTCAGAGGAGGTAGAAACAAGAGTACACAGGGGTTGACTGAGTAGAGCCCCGCTCTCTTGAAGGACAGGAGACTGCAGTGCCAGGTGGGCAGGTCAGCACTTCCCTGGGTCTGTGGTGACACATGTAGACATGTCCCTGCAGAGCTCCATCAGAAGCTGACACCATCTGCCTGCATCACTCCTACCTCCTCCTACCAAGCCCTTCACCAGGAGAACATTCTTCAGGGACAAATTAGGCAACTGTCTCCAAGTCTCCTTCTTAGGCACTTGCAGGAAACACATAGCATGAGTCATTTGTCCATGTGATGACTCGTCCACTCCCTACTTACACTTTCTGGAGCATCTAGCCTATTTTCAGATTTTCTGTAAAACACTGGTCCACTGAAGATCCATTGACTTTATAATTAGAAAACGTGGTATTGATGCTCTGAGTACAACTGTGAAAAGGAAGATAACTAACACTGCACTTGAGGGTCAGGGAAGAAGGGCGTTCCTAGAGAGAGGGTTGAAGAAGTATGACCCAGAAGAAGGTAAATGGAGGCAGGAGTGGGCGGTGTGAGAAGGTTCTAGTGGGTTCAGTACCTCGGACAGCACAACCACAGTCGCTTGTGTTTATCCACATTGCAAAAGTGAGTGGAGT